TCTGTTCTTAGAGCAAAGGGATCTGAAGACCAAAGGCATTCTGCCTATCTAAAAGGCACTAACACACCATGTGGTCATTGTTTTGTTTTTTTTCACTAAGAACTTGTTCCTGAAGTAACCTTCATGTCTAGAAAGAGCTCTGTGGGGGGGTTAGTGTCAGTTCTTAGCTGAGTTCTTGCCAGGCTTTCCAGAAGTGACTGGTACTGTTGTTATGCTCACTTCCCATATTGAATTTGCTGTAACTATGAATGTTGGTGATTGCAGTGTGGTTCTTTCTGTGACATGATTCTACAGTGCATTGTTTACATTGGCATTGTGTACTCCTGGCAATCACCACACTGCACTCCCATGCTACTTTTGATCTGTAGATCAGAAAGCACTTTCCTTGGGTGATGGCTGTTATCGCTTGTGTTGTATTTGGGGAAATCAAGGCAGAGAAGAGAGTAATTTGCTCAGTTGCTGATATGTCAAGCAATAGGAAATTGGTTGTACAAGCAAGTTCATTTTCAGTATTATGGATGTGAAATGATGTGTTTTCTTTTAGTAGGCAGTAGGTCTTGTATATTGGCTCAGGTGCTGTCCACTCAGTACAGTGGTCCACTGGAGACTCAATCTGATTATGGTTGAAGGAAAAGTCATGCACTTCAATTCCAGTGGGAAAATTCTCTTTGGCTTCAGTTGCAAACTGAATCTTTAAAACCTTTTAGGGTTATACCAACAAGTTCCTCTTTGTTAAAAAGTGGTTGTAAAAGTTACTGAGGTGACTGAGTGGTTTTAGAATCCATCCCTGCTTCCATAAAGTCTGTGGCAATGTGGTGGCAAAGCTGCTTTTGGCCTCAATGAGATCGCATTACAGTCCATATGGGTACTATTAGAATGCCAGACCTTAGGAGCCATAGGTCCCATGCTGGCTGAGGGTGTATTTAGTCCCAGATGTATTCTGTGACATCTGGCACAGCACTGGGAGCTTTATCGAGGCAGGGAGGATTGACTGAGTGGATAGACACTGGATCTTGAGGTAATTCATCAGGAGGGAACTGGATAATCCATTAGTGTTGAGAAGAGTCAGGGTATTCCTGGTAGAGAGAAGGCAGGAAGCTAGTCAGAAGCAGCTGGTCAAATTCAAAGATACAGTGGACTTATTTTTTTTTATTTTTTTTTTTTTAAGTATTGGTTCCATGCTGATCTATATCTGGGAAGAATTCTGGCTTTAATTTCAAATGGGAGAATCCCCAGAAAAACCCAGCCCTATACACCAGAGAGTATCCCCACATGGCCTGGGGATTACCTCCCTTCATTGGTGCTTTGCCAATCTGCATTCAGTCTTAATTAGCTGTCTAACAATGGGATTGAAGCACTGGCTCTGTGAAAACTCCAGGCTTTAATCCTGTGACCCTGTGGTGTGCTCTTTAGCTGAATGACAGGCCCTGTCTGAAGTCAGCCTGGGTGAACCAAAATGACTTTAAATCTACTTCGCTTTGCTTCCCCATAGAAAGATGTAATCTTACATCAATAGGAGGCAAATTGGAAGAAGACAACAAGCCTTTCTTCTTACGCATGTAAGCACTGTGTGTTACTACAATGACTTTATGGGGGCATGATTTTTCTTTTTCATTCTGCCAGGCAAAGTCTCTGGGGATTTAATCCTGCAGGCAACAGCCATCAGATGGAAAAAATCATCTGCTGGTGAAGTTATTGGTATAATGTATATACTGCCAATTAGTGAAAGAAACTCACGGATTTCTTACAGTTTTTCTCAGCTTGAAGTTGATTGCTGCCCTTTATGTTAACTCCATAGGATAGTCAAGATCAGAGCAGGGGAACTAAGCCTTGGATGCGCAAGAAGCTGGCATGGTAAAAGGGAGAAGCAGCATGTGTGGGAGCGAGACCTGCCGCCATCCTCCTTAGGATTGTCTGACTGTGCCAGAGCCACATTAGGACTGCCTTGTCTCTGGGGATGCTTAAATGAGCATCTCTCTTGAAGCTAGGAGAACTGGACATTAGCTGGCCACAAAAGCGGTTGCCTAGAGTCTGCAACCTTGTGCCTTCTGTATCTCACAGTATGAGTTGCAAGGCTTGAGCTTCTTTGGAGATGTAGTGCGAGTCTTTAAAGTACCATACTGAAGCAGCAGAAATTTTTCTATTTGCAGCAAAGTCATTCCCTCTGCATGAGGTAAGGCAGCATACAGTGCAGTTGGTGTATCCACCTCTCCTATGGCATGTGGTAAGATCAAGTCACATGTAGTGTCAAAGATCTCATGTTTACCTTTAAACAAGCATAGCTCTGAAGCTCAACATAATGGATAGCTGAGTAGTTCTCATGTACTTTGGTTGCTTCATTTGCTTTGCTTGCCCAGGTGCATGAAGAAATTGTTTCAGTCCCATCCCAAAATGCCAGAGGACAGGTCCTCTTAGGAATCTGAGTGCTTGACTATTAGGTCTTATAGTGACATCCTTGTGCTTGAGTATGTAAATAACTCCCTTTTATCCCTGCCTTGCTGTTGACATCTGGCTGTTATTTGTAATCATATTGAAATGCACTTGCAGGGCACAAAGGATGAGTGACCTCTAGTGTTTTCTAATTATAACAGTGCCTGGTAGCATTGTTAGGATTGTTTATTAGTGCAACAAATAGAAATCCTTTTAAAGTAAGGACTTACAACTGTCATAAATATCTGCTGCTGGCAATGCTTGGCATGCCAGATCTGAGCTTCAGAGCTGTCTGTATTTTATATTTACCCAGTATGAAGAAACATCTTTGATTTTTTTTTTCATTTTAGGACAGGATGGAAAGTTGGGGGTGGGGAAGAATGTGAGATAGACGGAAGTATTTTCTCATTTTTCTGCTGGGATGTTTGCTAAGAAATTGTTTGTATTTTCAGGAAAAATGAGCTGCACAGCCTTGGGAAAAAGTTTTCTTTTTCCACAGCAGAGACCATGGCAGCACAAATGTCTTGAGTAAGGCCCTGGCTGATTTTCTTTTAGAACAGTGATTATAATGCTTTTTTTGTGGGGGAGGCTGGCCTAACTACTCTTTATCTACTCCTCATCTTTCCCCTGAACTTCTGGATAGTACCTCTTCATGGTATTCCCATCTCTTAGGCCAACAACAATATTGCCTTTCACATCAATTTTGCTTTGTCTCCTGTGCTGCTGAGAGCAAACCTGTCAACAGTAACTTTGGTAAAGACATCAGTAAAATATGGCCAGCCTCTCACTTCTAATCCATTTTCCAGCTTCCTCTCTTTAAACTTGGTAAGCCTCGCTCCAGAGGTGAATGTTACTGGTTGGGAGCTGGTGGGGAAGAGCACAACCTCTGATTAGATGGGAAATTAGCTACTGTGTCTCAGCTCCTTCCTGGTTTTGATTTTTGAGTCTGTGTCAGCCTACCCAGCTTCCCCTTGAAAAGCCAGTTTTGTGGAGGAGGGAAGGAAACAGGTTGGTGCTTCGTAAGTCACTACAGGCAAGCCAAAAAAGCCACTGGAACAAAAGGCATTTCAGGAGCTGCTATTCTGGGCCAGCTTTTATCATTTTAAACCAACTATAATGAATTGCTGATCTCCACCTTGGGGTTTTGTTTTGGTTTTTTTTCCCCACAATGTGCCATATTTAAAGCAAAGAAAGGGAGTTTGGTAAACACATTCTGTGTCCCTCCCTATCCCTATTTCCTTGCCAATGATTTGAATGAATTTAGCACTCATGAATTACAAGTGCTAGTGAGAACAAGTATTTTTTGCCTTAGGCTCTCACTCTCCCTCTTTTCCTGCACCCATGTAATCCAAGCCCAAGAATGTTAGGATGGAGCTGGACCTGTAGGAACTTCTGCAGCTTCTCTCTCTGTGCTATCTTGGTCCAATGCCGTTCTTGTGTGCTGGTTTTACACAGCACGTGAGGTGGGGAAGAGTGTGGGTAAGAACATTGTTGTGGTTGGAAATCAGACTGCTGGCAAAGATAGGTGACTGAACACATGTTCTGTCACCTAACTTAATT